GCTGGCAACGGAGCCGCTGCGCTCGACATTGGCGTGTCTATCATCTGCGCCCCGACCGTTGAAGACAGTCCGATTACGATAGACTGGATGGGAAGCTCGATACCAGCGCCGCCTCAGCAACGGACCCGAATGAATCTCCGCGAGATGCTCAAGCAGGAATTCGAGAGCGCAGCCAATCTGGTCGCGACAGATCCTCTGACTGCAGAGACGATAGTGCGTCTGCACCGCCGAGTAGAAGCGCACTTTGCCTCCCTCAGCGAAGCTTCACTCCAAGCACCACCCATCAACATACCGAGCGTCAACATCGGGGACATGCAATCGCAAACTATATCCGACGATCTGAACCGAGCTATCGACGACGCAGCAGCCGCAACGGTGGTAGACGACATTTCCAACATGGATAACAAAGCGCTGCAACGCAGTATGGACGAACTGACTGGTGCCGAAGGCTTGGACCTGTCAAACATCGGCATGGGCAATGGCGATGCAGGCGCAGGCGATATGAGCACAGACCTGGGCAGCTTGCCCGGTATGGATCTGGGTGACATGGGTAGTATGGGCATGGATATGGATATGGACATGAACATGGATATGGGTGGTGGCGGAGGAGATGACGACTGGGGTTTGGATTTCGATAACATGTAGAGTGTGTTTGAGGAGGCTTCTTCTTCATGGAATACATACCTAGGCACGTAGATTATTCTTCCAAAGGCAATGCTTGGGATAAGCGCTTAGGATGGATTGGATCGGAATGGTTGGTTATGGAATTATTACTATCGCATCTTACGGCGTCCTGCAATCGAGTACAATACAAGCGGAGCAACCATCATGTAAATGTATGTATGACTGTACCGAGGTAACCCTACTAACCCCAAACCGGCAAGAAGTACGATAGAACCGGGGGGCGGCACCGGGGGTGGTCCTCACCTGCATAAACTCCGGAAGCCATTGCCCCACCATGTTTCCCGACGGTGACGACGGTTCCGACAGTCAGCTTGTAAACAACACACGAATGAACTCTCAATACCCTATCCCAAGCATTTCCTGCTGAAAGCTTATCTTCTCTCCTACTCCAGATCTACAACAGGAACCACATTAATCGCATTCTACATCTCCACCAGGCCTACCCAACGCACACAGAGCAGACAGCAAAGCAACAAACATGCCGTACGATCTCAAAGGCAGGAATGTACTTATCACCGGTGGATCAGCGTACGTACATCATACCTAATCTTCCTGGATGCCTTCCTCCATACATCTCACTCTCTACCCACTATTTCGTCTTCCAAATCTCAACCCTGACTAACGCCCCCCATTCAGCGGCCTCGGCGAACTCCTCAGCACGACGTTTGCGAGTGAAGGCGCCAATGTGGCTATCAACTACTTCAACCGAATTGAGCCGGCGCAGAAGGTGCAGAAGGCGTGTCAAGAGCATGGGGTCAAGGCTGTTGTTATCAAAGCGGTGAGTCTGCTTGTTTACCTGGGTAGGGTCGGTGTCAGGTCAGGGATTGGCGGATTCAGTTGGAAGTTGGGATCTGATGAAGAGGGAGAGGAAGTGGGTAGCAAGCAGTAACATGTGCTAATGGGAGATAGGATATGACGTCGACGGATGAGGCGAGGAGAGCTGTCAAGGAGACGATTGAACAGCTGGGAGGGCTGGATATTATCATCGCAAACGCTGGCTGGACACGCTTCTCCGAGTGGAAAGATCTCGACTCCATGAGCGAAGAAGAGTGGGATAAGTGTTGGAATGCAAACGTCAAGGTCCCCAAGGCACTGCTGTCTGAGGCGAGGAGTACGTTCGATGCGAATCCAGATGGTGGACTGATGATCACTACGGGCAGTATTGCGGTATGTTCTCAATTTCTCTTGTCTTGACACAACTACGGACTATGGGTTTAATGACTGAGTACTGATACCGAATCATAGGGTGTCAGCCAAGGCGGCTCCAGCATGCCCTACGCCGTCACTAAAGCAGCCCAATTTCAACTCGTCAAATGCCTTGCCGCCACCGTCGGGCCCAAGATACGCGTCAATACCGTTCTCCCAGGCTTACTGTTGACCGAATGGGTAAGGATGCAGAAGCTATCCAGACGTGCCATGCTGACAGTTACGCAGGGCCTCAAGTATAGCAAAGAGAAGATCGAGCAGCTCAAGAATGCTGCAGCGCTGAAGGATGTAACTCACATGGAAGACTGTGCTTCGGCGTATGTCATGTTGGCGAAGAATACTAGCATGACTGGTATGCGCATTCAGGTTGACGCTGGACTCAACATCCAGGGCGCGTAAGAGGATGCTGTGGAAGAGTCATGACTGTCAAAGGCATCCATCAGTCTAGCATTGAATTTGATAATCGTATACCCTCGTAAAGACATCAGTCAATGCCTCGGTGACGATTGGTCGCGGAAAAGCAAGACCTCGGCCGTGGGTGTTGGGTGACCCCACGGCGCTAGTTCAAGCTGCAGGGCACATCACGTCAATTCCCCGCGCCCGAACCTCCGCATCTCCGCAGAGCTGCTGGAAATCAACACCATGACTCCCCAAACTTCATAGCCAGAAACACGCCATGTCTGCTTCTTTCAGTACCGTTTCCAGAGCAGCCCCGCGTCTTCCGCGACGGTGTATGCGATGCGGCGAGCGGAGCGCCAACTGCCAGCCTGCTCGGCGGCGCTGGATGAGCAGCGTGCGAGATGCGCCCGCTACGAGACCCAAGACTGCCATCTTCTTCCCTGGTATTTCTTCGAGATTTCAAATACTTCATGATTCTATGCTAAGCAATACCAGGCCAGGGCGTACAACGCGTGGGCATGTGCACACCGTGGCTGCAAGCCTTCCCCCAGACCGCGAAACCCATCCTCGAGGAGATTGACGAAACCCTTCAACTCCCCCTTACCAAGACAATCGAGTCTGGCACGAATGCCGAGCTAACACGAACCGAGAACGCGCAACCGGCCATCATGGCGACCTCGATCCTGATACTGCGGATACTGGAGAAGGAGTTTGGCTTCAAGACCAGCGAGCGCGTCGACATCACACTGGGCCACTCGCTAGGCGAATTCGCAGCCCTGGTAGCAGGCGGCTACCTCACCTTCCACGACGCCCTAAAAATGGTACGCCGACGAGCCGAAGTAATGAGCAAATGCAGCCAAGAAGCCGTCGCAGAAGAAGGCGGCGAGTTCGGCATGGTGGCCCTCGTCTGCGAATCCGAAGAGCACATGCAATCCCTCATCAACGGTATCCACGAGTTCCTCGCCCTAGGCTCCAAAGCCGATTCCCACGACCACCTCCCCGCCGTCCAGCAAGTCGCCATCGCGAACCTCAACTCGAAGAACCAAATCGTCCTCAGCGGCAGCATCACACGCATCAGCACGCTCTTGACCAACCTGCGCCAATTCGGCGGCCACGACCCCCGCCATGTACGACTTAAATCTGACGCCCCCTTCCACAGCCTCCTCATGAAACCCGCGGCCGAAACAATGAAACGCATCCTGCACAAGCCCACCGAAGACGGCCGCGATATCATAACATGGCCCGGCATCATGCCCTGTATATCAAACGTGTCCGGCAAACCTTTCCAAGACAAAGAGCAGTTGAAAGATTTGCTAGCGCGGAGTTGCGTGGAAACGGTGCAGTGGTGGAAGAGCGTCAAGTATCTCCATGAACAAGAGAAGATTATGCGATATGTGGGTATTGGACCCGGGAAAGTGGGTAGGAATCTTGTGGGGAAGGAGGTGGGCATGAAGGGGGCTGTTAAGGGCGGTGGGGTTTGGGGGATTACGAGTCCGAAGGAGATGGAGGAGGTGGTTAGGGCGTTGGATGATACCGAGGATGTGGATGGGATTGAGGTGGAGTGATTAGTGGAGGTCGGGTGGTTGAAGCTTACTTCACTTTGAAGACGATTAGATGAGGGAGGACGATGAAGAAGAGAAGTCTTGTTGAGGTTAAAAGCGTACAGATATACCCCAGTGTAGCGACTTTAGTGTTAATGGAAAGTGTTCGTCAAGGTGCGTTGTTCGTTCGGCTCTGATTCGCCAAGCCATGTCTTGCTCGATATGCTCTTCGTCGCTCCTTCCTCGACTGATCACTCACATTCTACAAGGGTTCTTCCACCCACAACACTGCAACCTCGTACCACACGCACAATGTTGACATTGCAGGAACAATCGAGCCCACATTCTGGAGAGCCAGACAGCGAGGTTAGACGCGACAACGAAACATGTCACATATTGTTTTTGCATACTTTATGCAGTCACAAAGCCATCACAATCACACCGTATACCAGAGTACGATCTTGATGACCAGCCCGAACCGAGACCTGACCCCAGTTCGAGTCAGAGGTGCACTCTATTCGCGGTGATCACTTCCGCAAGATCAGTCAACCCACGTCGACGGACTTACCGGTGACAGATGTTTATACGATCATTACAGCTAGCCGGATCCGCACAATATCGGTAACAGACACGATGCCGAACATCTCTCTCACGATGGCGAAAGCAATGGTTAAGAGGGGTCCTCTTGCAGGAACGCGAAAGTTGGATGAACACCAAAACTTCCTAGCTCTGCGACGCACTACAACAACGTTATAAAATAAAACAAAATAGAGCAAGGGATGTAATAAAAGTCTACGAGTATCTCTATCTTTTTAAAATTTTATTAAAGTGCGTAGTCGTGGTTGTAGAGGCTACCTACTATTAGCTTATTTCCAACTTTCGCGTTCCTGCAAGAGGGGGTCGTAGCTAATCGGGCCGCTCAGCATTGCCGATTCACGCGTCGTGTCAGATCTGGAGATCCCTGGTCGCGTCCATCAACACCTTCTCTGCAACCTCAGAGTTTAGTGCGACGCTAGGGGGTGTAATTAGGACTGTATCAGCTCCGGTACCTGCCCGACCATCTTTCCTCTTGGAACATGAACATCCTCCTCGCACTGCCCGGTGTATCGGTCGATTCATTGGCACTTTCAGCACTACTTTCGCCGCATCCTCCGGCAGTTCCCAGCCAACATGCTACCCGATAACATCTACAACAGCTATCTCGAATACAAAAAAGACACCAATACGTACATCAACTGGCTCTGCAGCACTGCAACACGTATAGGCTTTCCGCCGCCCTACAAGTCATCGTTAGAATCAACGGCATCAAAATCACAGGCCCGGAAAAAGAAGAAGCTAGAAGAGCGAGAAGTCAGTATTAGCGGACTAATTGCATGTGCGGAGGCAATCGTAGAGAAACCGCCCAGGCAATTCGTCGTTCCTGTATACGCTGCTCAGTGCGCTGCACGGGCTATCAGACAACGGAAGAAGTCATCGCAATGGCATGAGAGTCAGGTTGATGGGTTGGATGGAATTGAGAAGGTAGTGAAAGAAGAAGATAACGCCGGTCATACTTTCTTCACGGAGACGCTGGAGCATACGCTCAATATCTTACGACCGTTTATATGCAACGCGCAACACGCCAACAAGACTGGTGATAAGGCTCAACGACATCATTCTATGGATGATATTACCAATCGCTTCAGTAGGCTTGAGATTGAGGAGTTGGCTGATCAGGAAGTCGAGAGTGCTGCGGTTGCGGTCGCCGAGAAACCACCAACAACGTCACGGATCAGATACGTTGTCGATAACAGCGAAGAAGAGCGCCAAGTCGCTATGGAATCCCTTCTGCATGATCACTTACGCATCAAACAGGCCATCCGCAAGGCATGGCAAGAATATTTGTTGGACAGAAACCTTGACCTCATCACGACCGCGGCAACAACTCAAGCCGGGTTGCAGATGCTCCGGAGTCTCGTTCACGAGTTCACGATGCAGTTCCCCGAACTCAAGTCGATGGAAACATTCTGCTCGGACTATCTTCGTAAACGCAAAGACATCCAATCATGTTCCGACAAAGCTATCCCGGTAGATACGAGCGACGCGAATGTCCAGATCCCAAAACACGTGGCCGAATTCAGCTGCCTAGACACCTATACCACTATCCAGCATGCGTTGAGTCGTTTCTTCCAGGATGAAAAGTACGCCCGTCGATACCGGGTAATGGAGGCTATGCTTCGAGACGGCTATTTTGACGACTACAAAACGGACATGCCTGCCCTACAACCACTGGTCAACGCCCTGGAAGACGTCTTAGGCATGGATGTCGATGGAATGGGCAGCTTTCAAGATCCTCCCATTATGGACAACTTCACTCAACTCTGGCGAGAGTATCTCCAGACTTTATATTCTGCTCCCAAATCGGAGGGACAAGAAAAGAGGGAACTTCCTGATCTGAGCGTGGAACTGGTCCTCTGTACGGATCTATACCTGAAGGTACAAGAGGTCGTCACACTTGCCGAACCAAACATCATAAGAGACGACTACAAGAACAACTGGGTATACAAGAATTACTATCAGAATGACAGCGACTCTGGTCATATCCTGGAGTTATTAAAACAATACCCATTCACATCAAATTCAATCCGTAAAACGCTCACCTCTTTCTTCCGAAGCGATGCAGACACAGCAAAGGTTGTAGACTGGCATACCAGGGAAAAGTTTTGGTTCCGACGCGTCAGTATGAAAGAAAAGATAACAGGTATCAGGATAAGTGGAAGAGAAGATTGCGCCGTTGGAGTCTTTCGTTGGGATTGGCCACGATACAACCCGTTTTTAGCTGGCCTGATAGCCTTTGTCGTCGCCCAAGCTGTTGATGAGTTCAATACAGTAACCCAGAACCACAGCGGCAGCCCGGTCGCGACGGCACATCTCTATAACTACCTACGACAGGCTCACAGCGTGATAGCCTCATCCCCCTGCACGCCTGTGTTGGCAAAGGAGTGGCCAGATATGGAAGCCTATCTCAAGATCATGGGCGACAAGAGTGTATTCGGTGGCGATCGACCGCGGACTCTGCGACATTGCCTGCAACGTATATTTCTAGCACACGGTCGCTCCCTTTCTAGCCTCGCTCGCAACGCACACGGCGCCAACGACTGGGGAATCAAAACTAAAACCAGACTGCAAAGCCATAACACGCCCATCATAGATGCTCTTTGTGAAGGGGGAACGCAGCGACGAAACTTTCTCAACATCACGAACAAAACCATACAAGAGGTCATTCAGCGTGAGGCAACTCGCCGTGCAGCCACCTCTACAGGACAAAATCAATTTCCCATCAAAACCCTGACCGGATATCTCACAGCTTTTCGCCGCACTCTGCAGTACGAAATACCGCGGATGCATTTCATGCACTCTATACTTGCTATAGAGGCTCACTGGCTTCACAATAAGCTAAAAGACCCCTTGAGAGCTATCTCGGAAGAAAATGGAAATGGCTACACACCGCCCGCGTGGGACAACGAAGACACTATACCCTTACACATTATCTGGCACGAGAGTCGCCATCAAGAGAGAACCAGTAGCTTGAACTACGAAACGAGAAAAGTGAACTCACAGCCGACGTATAGGGCGGCGAGTGTTATAGAGGAGACATTTTTGAGTAGCAACTCAAGGCCAAAAGTACCATCTTATGGTACGAGAAAGTTTGAGGAGATGATAAAGTACGTATATCCTACCATCAATCATTGCGTGTACGCAAAAGACTAAGCTAGTTACTAACCATCACAAAAAGGGCATTCCACTGCATAAACCCCCTCGACAAAGAGCAAGAAGAGTTTCACGCTCAACACTGGGCCGAGTGGGTTCTCGCCGATGAAGAAGCGGTGCAGAAGTCTGCAGATGAGGTTCTAAATCGAAAAGGCATGACGGAATTGTGTCTGCCACCTTCATTCCGTGAACTCATCGCTAGTCCCTCAGCAGCGGAAAGCTCGCCCAACCTACCAGACGAAGAGACCAACACGCGAAACCAGCAGAAGGAGATTTCTACAGCCGATGCAAACAAAGCTGCATTTGAAGGAATACTCCGGCTTTTGCGCCAGGCTAGAGCGGACAACGATCAGATGAAGACGGCGGGGTTGGTACAGGAAGCTTTTGCCAGGCTGGGGGCGCTTGGAGGGGATCATGTGTTGGCCCCGGAGGATCATCAGGAGATTGTCAAGGCTGCTGAGGGATTCTTGGGGAAGGGGGTGAGTAAAGATGGGCATGGTCGTGTTTACTATATTCGTGTTGGACAGGCTGCTCAACAGCCTTAGAAGGCAAGACGCTAGTATAGATGTACAATGACGACGAGTGAAGCGTGCGCGCAGTCAAATGAAGATTACTTCATAAGTCGGGACGTAGTGCCAATCGCTGGTCGTTGTACAAAGGGAATCAGAAATCCTAGGTTTTTAGCACACAGTACGCATGGAAAACGCATACCATGACAAAACGTTGGGAAGTGGTCGCAGCGAGTTGGTAGACAAATCGAACGTCAGACTCTTTGCATCACCATGATGCCAACTCCCCATGCACATCTATATTAAAGGCCAAGACGGTATCAAGTGAAATTGATGATTTGATCGAATCCGGGGCATGTCCCAGTCTATATACTCGTGGACCCAACACCAGCACGGGTATGTATTTTCTTGCTCCAAAACCTCCTATCTACCTATTCAAACTCAACAACTCCTCCACATACCTCCTCGCATCAATCCCAATCCCCTCCGCCAACCCCTTGGGCCCCCACCCAGCGGCACTCCCACCCATCCTCTCATTCCTTGACGTACTCCCACCTCCCATACCAAGCCCACTCCACATGCCACTCGCAAAGCTACTCGAACTCTTCGCACTATGCGCCGTCGTATCCCTCGCCCTCCTCACCAGAAACGCTTCACGCAGCTCGTTGGAATTGAACTGGCCGGAGCCGTGCCCAGAACCGGCGTTTTCATTCGAAGCATTGTTCTGCGCTGTGTCTTCGTTGGAGACTTGCGAGGGTGGGAGACGCATCCAGACGACCCACCAGCCGCGGGATGTTTTGCACGTGCGTTCGATTTCAGAGAGGTTGCGGCGTGTACCCGCTACCGTAGCCAGGATCTGAGAGTGTACGTTCAGGGCTTCGATCCTGCTCCAGCCGAGGGAGCTCGTGCTGTTGCTGCCGAGACCTTCCGCGAGCAGGGTACCCGGATCGGGGATATTGGGCAGGCTGGAATGCACGGTGTAGGTGCGGGGATCGTAGACGAGATCGTAGATAGTTTGTGTGTTGGGGCCGGAGGTGGGACCTGAGCCGCCAGATGAAGCTTCGGTTGTGTAGTGGTTTGAGACGGCGTGGAGGCGGGCGGCGACGAGGCTGGGGGAGGTGCTCTTGTCGAGGGAGCGGTGGAGGGGCGAGAAGAAGTTGTGGATGTCGCGGTAGAAGGATGCGACGCCGAGGGAGTGAGTGCGGTGTTCGAAGAGGAAGGTGTAGACGAAGGGTCGGTGCTGGGGTGGGTGTTAGTAGTGGAGAGGAGTTTGTGAGTGATGTGTAGACTTACCACGTAGACAACAGGTCGTAACCGTGATAATTTGTTCTCTGTTGTTGGCTCCATCCTCATGTCTCTCTCGTACTGCGGAGTCGAGTCCGAGTCGCCATCTTCTGTTTTCAGTGAAGCTTCTCGCCTGTCGACCTCCACATGGATGGTCCGCAGCGGTATACGGATGTTCCAGTCACCCTCTCCGTTCTCGTCGTCGATGTCTAGGTCCTGTAGATCGCCTTTGAGTCCTACAAGGAAGTACCCATCGTTCTCTAGACGTATCTGCTGCTTCATCTTCTCCTCTGCTGGGTCCACATCCGGAGTCGGATCTACGTAGCGCATCGCTGCTGGTGAGGGTGTCCGTTCGCGTGCTAGTGGTGGTGGCGCTGGCGTAGGATCAGCAGATTCGGAGGTTTCGGTGCTCTTCTTTCCACCCCATGCTGTCCCATAGCCAAGTGTCATGTATTTCATCCATGTCTCGGTGTCACCCAGAGACGCTAGCATTGGCTTGGACTCAGGTGCAGTAGAGTCGGGCTGGGATTTGTTGTTTTGGACGGCGGCGGAGGCCTTGTCAAGAGAGTTCTCGGCTGCTTTGACAATAGGCGGAGGGATACCCGGTGGTAGGGAGCCGTTGCTCGACGGAGGGAAGCGCGGCCTTTCTTCTTGTATTGGAGGCGATGGCTCTTCTGGTTCGGGTTCGGGCTTCAGATTTCTCCTCCGTCGTTTCCTACGATCTGATGTTGGGTTATCTCGTACGCCGTAAGCATACTCGCCGTGGGCGTAGATAGACTCTACCCAGTGAGACAAGTCTCGTAATGACTTCCTGCTCACAGCTCCCAGACCCGAAAAGACAACGCCATCTGCGGCATGGACGTTCTTTCCGGCCCCGATCCAGGGTTCCAGCTCCGACACTTCGAGTGTCTTCGGGTCTGTGGATGTCTTGGCTTGTTGAAGTGGTGATGCTTCGCCAAAGCGGGACACCATGACGTCGACGAGACCAGAGGTCCTTCGTGCGAAGTCTTCTAGTACGTCTCGCTCACTGCTTCCCCACTCCTCCTCGCCAACGCCCATGCCCAGCTCGCCACCCGCTGCCAGCTTCATGCCACCGTATATGTCTACCGCAGGGCTTCCATGCAGCAGCACGTCCCAGCTGCTCGCAAATCGCGACCAGTACTTGTCGAGTATGCTGCAGAACTTGGCACGGCCGTGCTTGGAGAACATGGTCTCGAGTGTTGAGCCATGATGCAGCAGGAAGACGGACTGGGCGCGTACGAGTTGCTGAATCAAGAGCGCAGGTGGGCTAACTTCGCGTGATGAGTATTCGATTATGGGCTCAGTGGTATCGGTGCTCGAGTCGGTTCGTGTGAGGCCGCCGGTAGGGGGGAGTTGGGTGAGATCAATAGACTATGGTGGTGTTAGTCGTAGTGTCTCTGAGCACGTGGGCATACATACTGCCAATATCCACCACCCATTCTCCAGTTCGCGTAGAACAATGCGCGACTTTTGTGTTTCCACAGAGTCGACCGCTTCGCCATTCGAGAAACTCCTACTCTTGGTTAGCTGGAGACGTGGAAAGAGCTCGCCTGCATGCGTCCTACTTCGCAAAGCCTACCATGCCCTGAGCTAGCCCGACCTGGCGAAGCTTCTCATTCTCCTGCTCGCGCAACTCTTCCTCCCTCTGTGTATCGCCATCTTTCAGCCTGGAGCGCGTCTTGGCGGCCTTGGAGTAGTAGAAGACAATCTGCTGGTGGAAAGTCTCATCTGATGTTCCGAGCGAGGGATTGTATATGGCTAGAAAGGAGAGCTGCGCCGGGACGACCTTGGGAACCGCCGTGGAAGACATGTGTGCATTCTGCGAAGTGCCTGGTCGCGCGGCGCTTCTGGTGGATTTGGGTGATGGATGACTACGTCACGCGTGCGGAAGAGACGCGGAGGAGAGGACAGCCAGCGAACGTGCCAACGCGCAACCCCAACAACGAGCGGTCGTCGTGGCCTATTTGTATTCCATAGTCAGGCACTGCAGTCCATCGCGATGCGGCGGCCGGGCGGCAGGGATCCCTCCGATTGTCGTGGTCGAGATGCCCCACGGGATCACGATCGCAACGTCCAGACCCTGCGGCGCGGCTTCTGTCGCCGAGCTTCCTCACCTCTGAACCATGATCTGGAGGCTGCGCAGCCCCGTCCGCTCCTTGATCGCCACTCCTCCCTGCCGATGCAGCTCTACCTCTTCTCCCGCTCGGACGTCGGAGCCATTGCGGATTCTCTTCTGTGGCTCTGACGCCTTCAGCATCGCGTCACTGCGCGCCGTAGCAGACGCGAAGCGGCATGTCCCGGGCCTCATTGAGAGCATTGATGTCATCCATCGACCACCGAAGCCTACCGGACGGGGACTGAAGACGCTGAGAGAGGGTAGGAACGTCTGTTAGCTACAACACAACATCAATTGACACGTTACAGTACCCATCAAGCAGGTAGCCACCGAAGAGCTCAACCTGCCCACCCATGTGATCGATACCTTCACCGGCTGGACTCCACCGACCCCCATAAATGTCGTCATCGCCGTATCCTTCGGCCTCCTCGTCCCACCGCGAATCCTCAACTATGCGCAATACGGCGGTCTCAACGTGCATCCCTCGCTGCTCCCCGATCTGCGTGGCCCAGCACCCGTCTCACATGCCATACTGAAGCGGCGGCAGTACACCGGTGTCTCTGTGCAAACACTGCATCCAAGGCATTTCGACCGGGGTACTATCCTTGCCCAAACCCCCATGCCTGGCTACGAGATTGCCCTTCCTTCCGAACAGAGTCCTGAGACGGCTCAGATATTGGAGCAACGGCTTGCCGCGGCTGGAGCAGAAATGCTCGTACATGTCTTGAAGGAACGGAGATTTGTGCCTCCGCATGAGGACGTTGGATGGTATGCCCACTCCGAAGGTCCTATCGACCACGCACCGAAGATCACCAAGCAAGATCGCTTTGTCGACTTTCGAAAACATACCCTGGCAGACGTCATCGCCAAACGCAACGCACTTGGCGACTTGTGGTGTCTACTACCTACCGGTGATCGTCTGATAATACACGACATCATACCTCATAATGCGGACGAGTCCCAACTCTCCACGATGGAACCTGGCCTCTTCGTAGATTCGCAGACCAAGAACGTGCTCATGTTCAAAGGAGCATGCGGCGAAGCCGGACACGTCCTACAGAGTACATTGCAAGGGCACAAGAAAGGTCAGGGAAACGCCAGATTACTGTCGCTGTTCGGTCCTTCAGCGAACACAAGCGTAGGAGATGATGCTCATACGACCACCTTATACAGAGTTATCTGACAGTTTGCTCTGACCATTCCTCTTTGGCATCCTGGAACTCTTCAATCTCTTTCATTACCCTCACACTTTTCGACATTGTCTCGACCTGGTTCAGTACTGATGTGAAGCCCGCCGAGTCCGAAGTCTCATAGAACAGTTGTCGCATCTTTCCACTGCTGCTGTCTATTGCCTCGTTCAGCACTCCCAACAACGTCAAGACGCTTTCGTCTCTCGATTTCTGTGTTGCATTCCCGTCGTTGACGAATCGTGAGAACTCATGCGTCCAACGAGTCATCTCGTTCTTTAGCTCTTGCGTCTGCTGTTTACCTTCTGCTGTCGATCGGAAGATATGCGGTATACAGGCTTGGAGGTCTTGACTGGTGGGCGCCACACTCTTTAGGAGAGATGGCTTCGGAACCTCGTTCGGTCGTGTGTGTTGCTGCTTGAAAGCCTCGAACTCTTTTGCTCCGAACGCACGGCGTTCGTTGTTGAGCGCGACGGTGGCGGTCGGTAACTTGATATGGTCTTCCAAACTCGTTGATGGTTGATTTGAAATAGAATCCACCGCTCTTCTGTTGTGCGTCCTGCGCGGCAAGTCCGATGTCGCATGCAAACTCACTGAAGGTGCACTGCCCACGGATTCTGCATTTGGGCCGTATGATTCGCCGAAGACCGAGTCGCTCCACGAGTATGCAGCGATACTGAACACCTCAGACGAGTCTACGTCATGTCTTGCATTCATCTCAGCTTCTTGCACTCTAGCAGTGGACTTAGTAAGCATGGCATGCATCTCCTCTAGCATCCCTCGAACCTCTGTATCGGGAGCTGGATTACGCAGCACATTCCCCAACAAAGAATGCGTTAATTCGTGATTCTTTCTGCTACTTGTATCTGCGAACGCAGTATTTGCCCTGCAGAGCAATTAGCCTGTGTCCACGTCAAGCTCAGTCTTTGACACTCACCAAGTTATCGAGGTCAACATCAGATTTATTGCATCAGTATGCGACTTGAGCTTCTCCCGGTACTGCTGTAAAGACTGCTTCTCACGGTCCCATCGAACTCTCTGCCAGTTGACCCGAATACTCTTTTTCACATCGTCTAGGGAACTCATTGTCGCCTTTCTCTTGCTCGCCTGACTTTCAATGACACGATACTTCTTCGTTACCGCGTCCAGCTCTTGTAGCGTAGCAGCACACGACCCAATCATCACATCCAGCTTCTCTTTCAGCCCTGATTCCCCGTGTCGCATACCTGGTCTTTCAAGTACCTCGGTCGAGACATCTCGAAGGTGGTCTAGAGCGCATTTCAGACTGAAGAGCACTTCTTCAAGCTCTTTCAGGTCGCGCGATGCTGCCTTTCTCCCAGAGCTGACCGTGGCGTAAAGGTCGTATGCTAACTGGCTAAGGAGGACTAGATAAACTCAGTACTTTCGCAAAACATTGCAGTATGCTACACTCACTGATATCCCCTATTGAGAAGCCGAAAGACATGTTTTCTACATAGATTGCGACGTGAGGCAAGCAGTTCTGTGAGTTCAGCTGAATGCGACGAAAGCGGGTTCACGCGTGCGGCTGAGATCACCCCACCTGAGAGGGCATAAAGGCTGCCACCGAGCTGAATTAGCCCACAATCACATCATTCCATCTTTCCTCTCTTTCCTCAATGTCAAATCACGGACTGCTTCATTAGCAACGTGAGTTTACAGCTTCCGATGAGTTCCACAACGCTTCCAGTCGTCCCTATCGACTCTCGTAAGGTCGTGATCGAAGGGCTGGAGAAGATTCAGGATGCCGAGCAGATCAACTCGACAGGAACTTCAGATGGAGAGAAAACCTCATCGACATTATCCACGATCATGCACGGAGACCAGCCGTTGTCTGAGCGGTGGACTCGGATCGCAGGTCACCTGTCCATACTCCCAGCATCTCGGTACTCTACTAACACTGAATAGACTGTGGCTTCCACAAGCCCGTCGTGATTAATATTGACGACGCACGCTACTGTGAACATGATCACTTACGCGTCGTGAGTGACCACGAAGAGGTTGTGGTTGTCGCAGACGACCAAATGTCAACAAAAAATACAATCCGGATTACGGAATCACTCATTTCACACGCGAACGCGCACCATGGCGAACCGGTTGATTTAAATATCACCCCGCTGCCTTCCTCAAAGCGCGCGATTGAAGCCAACTGCGGGTTTCACATGTCCCTCGAACGGACTCCTAGAATGCCAGACGACAACAAGCTCCACCAACTGCCGGGTTCACTGGGAAGTTACAATCTGTTCAGCGTAGAGTCGTATGCAGACCGTCTCCCAGCCAACATCGGAGACAGTGGCGGCGTCTTCTTTCCTATGTGGCAGAGAGAGGCTATGTGGCTCAACTTCGAGCCAACGATACGCAAGTGTGCTGTTCGTATCTTCATGGGGTATGTCAATGCGATTTCTGGTCTCACAATGGAAGAGACCACAAATGATAGAAACGACGAGCTCGAGCAGGATTACATCGTAATACCAGGTCAAAGATGGCTAGACGGTATCTGTGTAGCACCTGGCGTTGTACGCCAGTTCGTTGCCATGCCACGTACGTTCTCCAAGCAATCACCCAAGATCTCAGCTAATCCAATAAAGTCGGCTCCGGGTATACTGTCGAAGGCCAGAAGACATCAAAGGAGCAACACGGAGGACTCCAACTCGAGATTACGCCCGAATGCCTCCCGAACCTGCGCTTGTGGTCGCACAACCAGAAAAGGTTTCTCATCACGATAGGTAATCCTGTTGGCATCGAGGAGACTATGACGCCTCAACAGCTTCATTGCGAAGTCGGAGATATTTTGAGATCGTACCCGGCCGATCGTAACTACGAGGAGCCACTGAAGATGAAGCATTTCGTTAATTCGGGAAACATCCTTACATGTACAGTGAGTTTTTCTCAAGGCTATATCGGTCTCTCGCTAAGCCATACTCCCTAGGCGGTCAACAGCGAGCGCGATCTCCCGGACGAACTCGCTGAAAGACTCATAGAGGCACGCGAAGAACTAATGCGCAGAAGAGTAGAGTTAACATTTATACATGGGAGAGAGTCGCCGGCCTCGTCAATGCCTACACCACCATTCATACCATCTCCCATCGGGCCCCTTTCTCCGGATGTTAATAGTGGGGTTTGCGGCTGGAGTCGGGAAGAAGAAGCGGATCTCATGGGGTCCCAGGACGGAGATGATGGCGGAGACGAAGACTGTGTGGACCATGACGGGGATGAGGAGGATACAGACGCCCTAGATATCCAAGTCGTCGCAACGAAAAACTTAAAGGCCATGGGTCTAGCTGCAGGTGGAAAGCTAAGTATGTTTACTCTTTCTCCTACACCTCTTCTACTAACACGTCATACAGTACAAGACATATACAAAGACCCCTTCCCACCCACAACCTGGAACCACGCCGCAGCGCGTATCCTTCACATACACATTCTCGATCCAGTCAGCTGCGAACAAGTAACGCACATTGTTCCGACCCCGCCTTCCACGGACGTCAAGGCATATACTGAGGCTGGTGGCAAGTATTTTGTTGTTGAAGAGAAGGTAGATGAGCGCCTCGATGGAGGTGACTTCGACAACGTAAAGAGTGTGAGCCAGATGGATCAACATATCGGCATCAACACTGAACCAGAGTTCGACCCAACGAAACCAAAGATGTGCACTACATGCGAGCTTAGGCTGTGCGATTGCATGTAAGTTGCTCCCCTCCACTCCTTCCTCATCACCCTTCCCCCGTCTCTTTGCTCACACAAACTCCAGTATCCGCCCTTGCGACCACCAATTCTGCAACATCTGCATCAAGCGCATTGAGCAGAACAGCGACGAAGATGTGGACTCGGCGCGCAGAAACTGGAAGTGCCCGACTTGCGACAGTACTGCTTCGCACGTAGCAGGCTTTTCTGCACCAATGAATCTACCAGGCGAAGAGCCGTTGCGCATCAAGGTCCCAGTCAATGTACTCAAGATTGAGGACGGCAGAGTGAGATTTGAGAGTGTGCAGAGGAGCAGGGTTTAGCCTACTCTGCATAGCTATCGAGGTGGTGAATGAGCTGTCGGTCGCATACCACTTGGTAGCAATGCACTTTGTTCCTTCTGCGAACAAAAAAACTTAGTGACCTTGTTGGCTTTTCTACAAAAGATTGTGATGCGTTGAACAGTCACACCGACATGGTGGGTGCAAAAGGATGCCTGCGAGGCAAAAAGATAATCCTCCTCCGGGAAGGCTCGAACTTCCAACCTCCTGATAACTAGCTACTGTTGTAACAGTCAGACGCGCTAGCCAATTGCGCCACAGAGGATTTGTTGATGAAGTGCTGGCAAAATTGTTGTTATATATACCGCGATGTTGCAGACAATGGTGGGCTAAAACTGCCTGTCTGACTGGCTTCTGGTGAGCTTGAGATCGCAGATTGCGTGTGGAGCGTAGGTGGGGTAGCTACATATTACTTCCGAGACCTCCGCCGTCGCATCACCCAACATATTATGACAGCACTAACAATGAATGAGCACATCGCCACGATGAGACCGGCAGGACAAGAACAGCGCATTATGCTCTGATATTGTGTGGCATTCTCAGGTAGTTACAAGAAATGCGGCTCGTCTATTTCCTACGTTTCTCTTTATCCTCATGCAAACCAGTCTAGTAATCTAAACGGTAAAAGTGCGTTAAGCGTTACAGCAAAACGAAAACGAAAACGCTGGAGCATCATCTCAGTGGTCGCATCTGGATATCGGCGTCATCATCGTCTCTTCGTTCGGTATCAAAGACTGGCGACATCAACCCTCTTTCTTCCTCGCTGTCTCCTCGACCTACTGGTTCAACGTTCTTCTTCGGCTCCTCCTTGTTCATTGCGACGTATATAGCCGAACCCAGGATAAGCGACGACCCAACAATGGACAAAGCACTCGGCGTAGTGCCCCAGATCAATTTGTCGAACCCAAGTGCGAAGAACATCTGCATGTAGAGCATATTCGTTGCACGGGAGGATTTCTCGTATTGGAGACCCGCGGCTAGAAGGAATTGCTATGGCACGTTAGTAGATGTGCGACGCGATATTGTAGACCAGACTTACCATGACGAATCCACAGATACCCAGAAAGAGCAGATAAGACCAATCTTTCACACCTTTGGGGAGTAGAAAGCCGACGCCTGGCATGACGGCCATTGCCACTACACTAACAATCGTGCACCAAGTTGCGAAGTAAGTGACGGATATGAGTGGATGTGCGCGCTTGCCGATCCATCGAATCGTGGTATATGCTCCTGTTGATCCTATTACACCCAACATCGCTACCCCTACGGCTGCTGCTCGTTGTGTGGGTGTCACATCATCGTAGTCCGCAGCGAGACGATCCGGCGAAGTCGCAGTGACGTTTGACGGAATGGCGTCCAAGCCCCCGGAGGCAGGAGGGACCGGGTCGCTGGAATGCGATAGTGCCGAGAATAACGAGACGGGTCTTGCGATCAAGACGACGCCGAATAGCGAGATGTACGCAGCTATCTGCTCCATCCTGGTGAACGGTTCGTTGATGAAGTAGGAGCATGCCCAGCAAGCGAGCGATGGGGAGAGGAATGTGATGACGGTGGCATCGGCCAGAGGCAGGTACATCAAAGAATCTAGTTAAGTTAGCACTATGTCAAGTACGTAAGACCCATATGATGTACTGTGGATTCCATCACAGCGATGCAGTAGCAATAACCTTCAGACGTGATCCAATATCATACGAGCTGAGACAAGTTACTGCAAACGCATGGTCCTAAGAAGGGGGGTAAGTGACTTACAGTACATGCCAAAGACTCCGAAGAAGCCAAATAATCCTCTGGCAACTAGCAACGACCGAACTTCCTTCATGCCGAAGGGAAAGTGCTCTATCTTCCGATACCACATATAGAACAAAGCGCATGCCGTGGTGATACTCATCCTAGCGAATAAGATCTGGAATGGGTGATAGCCATTACCTACGACCTTGGGTCAGCGCATGTGTGTCTTCTCACGAAAGCATCTGCATACCGCTATTTCCTTCCATCTCCAATATCCTCGTGGTAACGTTCATCAAGTTTCCGAAGAACTGAGCGAGCAAGACGTACGCTAAACCCTTGTTCGTCGTCCAAAAAGAGTCGATCTTCTCTTTGAGAGTCCGCGGAGGGGCGGATGAGCGTAAAGCATATTCTTCATGGTATATAGGAGCATAGTCTGGATTCCGACCAAGTCGTACAACATTCGCATCGTCTATTGATATAAGCGATGGATTCGGAGAAGGTACACGAATTGCCCCGCGATGAACGCTTAGCGCCTCATCGGTTTTATCGCCGGGTTTAAGTGAGGATTCAGCCTCGATTTGGTGCTCGCTGAGACGCTGCGCGGGTTTATCATCGTCTTGAGGGAACGCGGGAAAGAGCGGCTGGACCATTGTGCTTCATGAGAGGTTCATGGAGGTTTGTGAGTCGGTGACGATGACATGAAGATACGATGGAAAGCGCTCGAAAGCCCAGCCATAGGCGGCGCCACTCGTCAATGAGGAAGGCGCAACCATCTCGACGAGTCACAGGCACGCGACACTGCCCCGGATCCACACATTCGCCCCTCCTTCGCGTCGCTTCTCCCCAGACCCCGCTAGTTCATGGAGAAGTATCCATCTTGGATGCGACCACGCCTTACACGCAGCTTGAAAGTCTTCCGTGACTTGTGTTGGGACGTCGGATGCGGATTTCTCATGATGACGTGAGAGCATAATCGTTCACGGAAGTACCTCGGTTCTATCGTCAACGATCGTTCGATAGGTACCTAGTCCGGAAAAATGACCGGAATCACAAAATCGGTCTTGACATAGGATGGGGTTATCCGGGCCTTTTCCAGCCCACATCTATGCGCGACCCAGACTCTGCCTCAGACAACCACAAACATCGGTTACAGGCAAGTTTGGTGGCAGCCACCCTCGGGAACGCGGAGAACGAGCTCAATGTTGACCTGATCGCCATCTAGTCACATTGATCCACTTGATGAAGGAACCATCAGCCCACCGTTGTCATGCATGGGTCGTCGAGACAAAGTTAGAGGCGTTCACATCGGCGCGTCGCGCCCACCGAAGGTTTACCACACCGATGAACGGCAGCAGACGTCAAATGTCGTACAGGACTAGCCATGCTTGCGCGCGTGGGTGTGTGGCTCAAACAAACTTCGAATACGAAGTCCAACGGGCGAACGGCTCGCAGCCACAAGATGGCGGCCTGAGGACGTCGCCGCAGGTCTGGTGATAGGCTACCATGAGGGACGTTGGAGTGTTGCAGTGTTTCTCGGATCAAGGCGTCCCACACTATCTTCAATTGAGGTGTGACAACATATCACAACACCAAACCGGTGAATCCAGGCAAGGCTCCATCTTCGAGAGAATTTGTCAATATTCAATACTTCACAGCACACCACTACCGGCATTAGTAGCGCTAGTCCGCGGCCCATGAAAGCGAATTGCGGCATCTCCCAGCCCGCGAAACGGCGTCCACTGCTCTAGTGCACAACATCACCGTCTGCCATCCATGGATATCGCTTGACCATCACCAACGCTACCACTCGTCACACATTGGAATTGATGCAAGCGAAGCGCTCACCCCGGCCTGTCAGTCACACGTCCGCATACGGGGATCGCGCCAGGCTACCAAAACTGGGATACCTATTGTGTTACAGATAGATGAGAACCACAGCACCACGGCTGTCAGCGATAATCTCTGAACTTACTTTACGACCTTCGGGAAAGAAGTGTGCACCATCCTTGCGTCATGTGTGGACCCATAACAGCACCAGTGAGCTGGAACGAAAAAGGAAAATGAGTGGTGGAGCGTTTCATAACGACCACCATGACTCGCAGCTATGGATGGATACTATGGGGCGGATAAGGCTGGAACACACGGCAGCACGCGCTACACTCGACGTGATATTGGTGTGATGAATGTCTTTCTCATTGTAGCGCTCATTCCCAGCAACCAATCGCTAACGGTTCCCAGGAAAGGGAACGTAATTTTCCAACACAGTGGATCTGCCTAGGTACCTCCAGGGGTCGGAAAGACTCTCTTCGCAAGACTGTGTCCGCGGCAGACAGCCTCAAACCCCCGACCTGCAAAGGGCATTCCTTTTACAAACCCTAAATGCGCATCCGAGACGAACTGCTCGCATTCGCTTCTTCTTTAATTAGTGATGCACCATTAGCCGTAGTGTGCTGTGTTGGTTTAGCGATATTCCTTTCCTCCCTTACGAACCTTGGAATGAGGCATCGCGCGAGATTTCTCTTGCACCAAGTAGACAATCCCCAGGCGAAAACCACAGTTCACGGTGCATTGCCGACGTTTCAGGCTTGCCACGAGGAGACGCAGCGTACGCACAGATCGACTGCAAATCTCCCGCTCCAAGGCGCCCCGCGGGAGCGCGCGTTAACGAAAGCCCGTCGGCTAAAAGGGATTGGATTCTCCAACCAACGTGACCTAAGCGCGCTGTATCACCAACAACCTTTTGCAGGATAGCCTTGACAACATGAAGGCATTGCGAATATTGCCTATTTCAAAATGGTAAAAACGAAAATTCGCTGTTGTCATATACGCAAGGGACCTTGATATCCTGCTTCGGACAGCTGTACCGACCGCTTTGCCTGCCCACTCAACGTTACGATTAAGTTTGAGGCCGCCGTTAAGACAAGCTAGGGCATATAAGATCGAGACTATGATGGCGCGCCTCGAGCGGAACAGACGATATCCGGTCACTGGTGTCCCTTTACCGTCTCTTTGCGGGGGGG